CCCTACTTTTTTGGAAAAAAAAATCCTCCAAAACCAAACAAAAACACAAAAAAAACCCCAAACCAACAGAAAACAGCCTTTACTGACAGTAATTTGCTCACATATTAGCCCTTGTTCTGAGAAGAAGCTTCTGTTTTAGTGCATCCTCTCACAATTTTTGCCATTTTTGATTACTCTTACCAAGAAATCTGCATTTAGTATTTCATCTCTGGATGAAGTATTGCCTGTCCTGGGAGAAGGAGATTTTTGCATCAACCTTCTATTCTGTTTTGTGTTTCCAAGAGCCTCTTGACTGTATCTCCATTTTAGTGGCTATACTAGTTCTTTTTGTCTTGTACTTTTTTGGTTTCAGTCAAGGAGTTGCCATCATCTCTGCCCAAATGGCTTTTGCCTGATACAGTATTGTGAGCATCAGTGGTGGAGAGCAGGAGGTACAGCAGCACCTGTCTGTGGGGAATTTGGAAACCCAAGTAGAAAATTATTAATTGGATTCCAAGATAAGGAACAGTGCCAGTAGTTCTGGGACTGCTGATATGGTGTAATGCAAACTGCTTCCAGAAATGTTGTCATCCAGGTCTGACATTTGAAATTGTGAGCAACAGAGTGAAGTCCAGGAAGGATCCTCCTGGGTCAGAGAAGAAAAAGGGCAAAAATTGTACTTTCTATTCTATTGAAGTTTTATGTGCACCCCAAAGTTTAATTAGTGTTGAACAGCTGATTATTTTTTCTTTGTTGTTCCCTACTCTTCTTGGAAAAAAATACGTTTTTCTTTCTCCTTTTATTTTTTTTTCACTTCTCTAAATCCTGTGCCATATCTACTGCCTCACCTGCTAATCACTTTGTGCCATGCAACCTGATCACACTATTAAACCCAAGGCTTAGAAAATGGCATTTTGAGGGTGTAGTGCTCTGTGGTTTACCAAGGTTTGTTTCCCAGTGTTACAGTCCCTGTAGATAGTTCCTGCACTGCTATAACTTTACTCTAGACAAAGAGGCTTTCTTTCAGGGCTTCCTCTTATCAGTTGGTATATCTGGTCAGATTTGAATGGGAGAAGAACAGTTTTATGAAGACAATAGGAAGTGGAAAGTTACTTCATGTGTTCAGAGTTAGGAAAAACTATTTTGTCTGTAAAAAAGGCTTTAACTTGTGAGCTTCTTTTGTATTTGGAAGGTTGCTCTTCCATGGCTAAATACACTTCACTAAGTCATACTTTGATACTTCCTAGGTAGGACCCTGCTTCCCGTTTGCAGTGTTCTTTTTTTTCACTAAAAAGAGCCTTATCTGTAATAGTATTATTCTGGGGAAGGAGTTGTGTTTCACAGGTTATACAGGATAGATAACATCATATAAAAATCTTTATGAAACGGAACTGAAAAAAACAAAGCTGCAGCAAAAGCTCTAGAATGGATTTGTCCTTCGATGCATCTTAAATCTTACTAGTAAGACAAATAGAGGACTCCTTAGCCTAGAGAAGAGAAGGCTGAGGGAGACCTTATTAATGGGTGGGTGCAAGAAGGAGCCAGACTCTTTCCAGTAGTTCCCAGTGACAGGATGAGGGGCAGTGGGCAGAAGCTGGAGCACAGGAAGTTCCGTTTAAATGTGAGGACAAACTTCTTTATGGTGACGGTGACAGAGCACTGGGACAGACTGTCCAGGAAGGTTGTGGAGTCCCCTTCTCTGGAGATACTCAGAACCCACCTGGATGCAGTCCTGAGTCATGTGCTCTAGGTTATCCTGCTTTAGGGGATGAGTTGGACTAGATGATCTCTAGAGGTCCCTTCTAGTTCTGACAGTTCTGTGATTCTGTGAATGTCCAAAAAAGTCAAGATAACTTGAATTAGATATATTTGGTAATGATTTGTGAAACATGTTGCAGTAACTTCACCTGAAGAATGTGAAATTGGAATTTTACAAGTGAGTACAAGATAGTAGTTTCTTTACATAGGAAATTCTGGCAAAAGTGACAGAACTCTCGGTTTCTACAGATAAGGCCAGATTATAATGATAAACTTGTATCTGGAATCATCTTTGCAGTAAAATCAGTGAAGAGTTCCTAGAATTTATTTTACTGAGAACATAATCAGGGATTAGATGCTTAAAATGTATTCACTCCTGTGACAGATGTGGTGATTCTTTAGATCCCAAGCCACAGAAAGCTGCTTTAAAGTCACATAATGGGGTCTCTTGGCTCCAGCCTGCACCACAAATGCTGTAGTGTTACCATCACATTACTGTGGATAGATGCAATCTGTGTATAATTTAATTAATGTCTAATGAATACTGGAAGTTTCTACTGAGTTCTATTTTGGATCGTCAAATGGCAAAGTAACAGTTATTCAGGTTTTTAAAAAGAAGATTAAGTATGTTAAAAATAGTTGTAGAAACTAAGTTTAATCTAGATAGATTCCTAAAAATATATGTATAAAATTTCACATTTAGAAAGTGGTGTTTGTTCAGCTTAGAAATTACAGTGTGTGTGTTAAGTTTCAACTTTTCCAGTGCTCTAAATTTGAATCCTGGAATAATTTTGTGCTTTCTCTTCTTATGTGCATCTGCAGTAATGATAAGCATATACCCATAAGTTAAGTCAGTGTTTAATTTATTATAGCAATTAAGTTATATGGCAATTAATTGTGCAGTTCATGCAAATGAAGCATTAACCCATTAAACATCTGGGAACTGTGCCCTGGATGCTTCACAAAATATTGTTTGTGTGGAGACTGGTCTTAATGTGTGACTTTTTTGCATATTGCAGGTATCTTCTATACTGCTTCAATAATCAAAATTTCCTTTCCCTTTGTTTTTCTATTGTCCTTGTTTTCAGTATTACTTTGGATTACTTTTTAATCTGTTTTATTTCACTATCCATGCTATTAAGTGCCATCCTTTCTATTGCTGTTTAGTCAACTTTCACTGTAGCAAGACTGATCAGTCTTGCTTTTTGGCTCTTACGTAGAAACCATAATATTATAAAATTAATCTCTGGAGACATCTACAGACATGATCCAAATCTGTTTCCTTTGAAACCTACTGTGTTAATGGAATCGTTTAATATATTAATTTCTCTCAGTGGCTTTGAGGTTTTTATAAACCTTTACAGAAAAAATTCTGATTGCAGTGCCATAAACATTAGCGTATGCACTGAAGTTTGTGCACAGCTACAATCTCTGACTTCAGCATACTCTTTTCCTGGTGTGTGAATGTTAGCAGTGCTGGGGATTTGTTTGTGAGACTATTCATCATAACAAGAAGAGGAAAAAAAGAAAAATGCTTCTGCCAACTAATATTTAAAAACTGTGTGATATATTGAAGAAAAATATCTCCCTTCCCAAGTGTAATAGTCGTGTTAATTTGCTACTTAGCTTGCCTAATAATCTAGTGATATGGGAAATTAGTGGCTTTGCAGATGAAAAATGTATGAGTAAAAAAATGCATTCATCTTCTTAGGCATCATCTGCTCCATTGACAAAAGGCACAGATGTGAAATTTATCTCAATAATTAGATTTTTAATTATTGTATCATTCTCAGATTGATAACTCTGGCAGAAAAGAACATAGGGGTTCTAACTGACAAATGGCTGAATATGAGCCAGCAGTGTGCCCAGGTGGCCAAGAAAGCCAATGGCATCCTGGCCCGTATTAGAAATAGTGTGACCAGCAGAAACAGAAGGGTGATTGTCCCCCTGTACTCAGCACTGGTGAGGCCACACCTGGAGTATCATGTTCAGTTTTGGACACCTCAATTCAAGAGAGATATCGAGGTGCTGGAGCGAGTACAGAGGAAGGGAACGAAGCTGGTGAAGAGCCTAGAGAACAAATTTTATGAAGAATGCTTGAAGAAGCTGGGAATGTTTAGTTTGAGAAAGAGGAGGCTGAGAGGAGACCTCATCAGTCTCTACAACTACCTGAAAGGTCATTGTAGAGAGGTTGGTGCTGGTCTCTTCTCACAGATAATTAGCAACAGGACAAGAGGGAATGGCTTCAAGTTGCAACAGGGTAGGTTTAGACTGGATATTAGGATTTTTTTTTTCACAGAAAGAGTGGTCAGACAGTGGAATAGGCTGCCCAGGGAGGTGATTGAGTCACCATCCCTGGATGTGTTTAAGGGTCGTCTGGATGTGGTGTTGGTGGGTATGGTTTAGGGGAGAACTTAGTAGAGTAGGGATGATAGTTGGACTTGGTGATCCCAAGGGTCTTTTCCAACCTGAATAGTTCTATGAGTCTGTGATTCTGTGGTAAGTCATTGCTCTTCATGGCATGTGATTTGGAGCTACAGATCATGTAAGAAATACGTTTGATTGTTGTGTGGTTTTTCGAAGCTTGAGACAGTTTTTCACATTATGCTTGTGTATTTGTATAGATTATAAAAAGTGTATGGCAGAGAAACAATTAGTCAGGTAAGATCATTCTGTAAATTACTTTACGGGGGAATGCTTGTCTTTGCTCTGAACAGCAAGCATGAAAGCCTGAAAAGTATTCATGGTGCATTTTCTTTGTAAACTGGTGTCTTTGCCATTATCCAGTATGATCTTAGACTTCCTTGACATGCCTACAAAACCAGTAATAGCTCAACTTTTTAATAGGAGACTGGAAGGGAGGGAAGAAAGTAACAGAATCTCAAAATGTCCACGTGTGGTACATGCTGTGCCTCTGATGCAAATATCTTCTTTCCTCTCTTTTTGCCTACAGTTGTAGAACAAGCAACAGGAAGAGTTTGATGGGAAATGGCCAGACTACAGCCCTGCCTCGTCCTCATTCACCGCTCTCAGCTCATCCAGGTGAACATCTATGCTACAACTGCTATTATTATATTGTTAAAGCCTCTGTTTGAGGAAAGGAAAACATACTCTGTCCCATTACCCTTCTTTCCAGTGTTTGTAATAGCAAAAGGTTGCTTATAATTTCATCCATTTTTTTTTATTTTTTAGATCAACAAATTGTATATAAATAAGATATTATGATTAGAAGCAGTCCAGAAATACCTCACATGGATCATGTAGCTATTCTTTATTCCCCACCTTGCATTCTGACATTCTGATGCACTCTCCAGTTACCCAGGATACAGTAGGTTCTCTTAGTACTGATTATTAGCAAGTTCTCTTAGTACTGATTGAACTTGTCTTGTTCTCTCAAGGTATGGGTGCTGAACACTTCAGCAACACTAGGAAGTCTCACATATGTGATGAATATTTGCCTGTGGTTGGCTGACTCTCTTACTAGCTAGCTTGGCTTGTTAATTACTGTAAGTATTTGCACAATCATTGGATCATAGCTTAGGTGGCTAGTGTGCCTAGACTAGTCCCCTTAAAGGGCAGTCTGAAGTTCAAGTGTGCTCAGAGTCACCCTTGATGGGTTTTACCCTTTTTCTGGTGATAACTAGATACTGTCTGGAATTGACTAGGTGGCAATTTATTTTTTTTAATCACTTGTCACTGCAAATGTATTTCTAATTCACACAGATAAAAAAGGATGGAGATTTCATGTTTGAAAGCACAGCAAAGCCACTGAAGTTATGAATTTTAATCCACACATGTAGTAGGAGTTCCATGTGTTAAGTGTTTAATGTATATAAATTCTTGGTAACCTCAATTTTGAGAGACATTGTCAGTTTTTAGTGATGCTGCATTCTTGTGTAGTCAGAACCACCAGGCTTTAGCACACTCAACTCGCCTCCCAGCTCCCTTTGGCAGCCTGTACTGGAGGCTTGGTTTATTGCATAGTGCAGCAGAGAGATGTGAAGAGACAGTGTATGCTGTAAGATCTGCTGGGTCTTTTTCTTCTTGGCAGTCCTTGGCAGGGAGGGATTATTCCGAGTCAAGAAGATCTGGAGACTCCGTTTACAGAACCTAGTGTAGCTCCTGTCCAGCTTGATGTTTTTAGGATCTCCTTTGACTACATGTGGAAAGTAGCTATGAATACTGAGAGTTCTACTAGAAAAGTTATTTGAATCAGAGGTGTTTTGCAGCCTGCACCAGAGCTTCTGCCAGGAGTGCATAGTACAATCTCCAAGTCTCAGTGGAACTGGAGATGACATTTTCAACACCTTCATTTCTTTCTTAATAGTCTGCTATTGGAGTAAGAAACTATAGAAGCAGAAGAGGGAGATGGAAACAAAGTAGTTTCAAATCCTAGAGAAGGATGGAGCAAGTTAGATCTGCAGCAAAATACCAACACTTGCATTGACTGAAAACAGGTTTATTTATTAGACTGTCTTTGGCTGAAGAATGGTAATAACATGCATTTTGGCAAGTATGTCTTAGTAAGATTATACAGAATAGGGAGGACATTGGAGAGATCCTGCTCTAGCAGAGTTTTTTCTTACATGTTGTCAGAGTTCAGTTTTGTGCAAGGAATCTGCCCAGGTGAGAGCAGATGCAACAGATTAGGCCCCTTGGATGCTAAAAGCTAATTTAACTTCATGTGATATTGCACAGCTGTTTGCCACTGGGCTGTCAAAGGAAAAGACTGATTCTTGGATCTGCTTTTCAAGGGGCTGAGTCTAACTGGTGATAGAACTTGAGCCATTGAGGACTCTTTAAATGCTGCTTGTCCTTATAAACATTTAACTCCCTCACATCACACGTTTTGACAGATCATGTGTTTTCTTGCTCAGTTCTGTGCCGTGGTCCTCTTGACTGTAGGAGAAGGACAGATGTTTCAGCAAACCCAGGCTTTTGACTTTCCTAACTTCTTCATTCCTGTTTTATCTTCTCAGCATCTTGACATAGCATTGATACTTAACTCTCTTTCCATTTTTCTATCATGTCTGTCTTGATTCCATTGCTTCCCCCTTTGGAAAAAGCTTGGCATACGTCTGTGAGTCTGAAAAAATCCTAAAGTACTGATGAAGACATGTGGGTTCTGAAGAGTTCTGCTTTACTGTGCTCTAGTCCTTTGTCTTACCTTCCCTGTTCCCTGAGGACCACAGGGACCCTGTTGAAAACTTAGAATTTTCTTCTGGTTCTGGAACTGTCAGACCTAGAAGACGTAGTGCTTTACAGGTGCTGTAGTACTTCAGTAGGAAGATGAGCTATTTTGAGCTTAGGTTTGAGCACAGGTTCATCTGTCAAATCAGCTGTGTTCTGGCCAAGTAGAAGTTGGCTTTCAAATGTGGTTGGCAATGCAAGTTTGACACTTATTGTAATAAGCTTGGACATAGTGGTGTGCATACTTGACACCATTTTAGGCCAGAAATTATGCTACTTAATTATTTCTTTCCATACGTTGCAAGATTACATTTTATGGTGTTGCCACGTCTTGGAAAGTTAACTAAATTGGGATTGATACATCAGGGGAGCATCAGAATCTCAAGGTGAAGCTCTCATGGTCAGAATGCACTGTATTAACACTCATGCCAATATTGTGGCTTTGGTCAGGAATGTTTTCATCTTTGGTAACTCTAGAGCAATCATGTAGAGTTCTGGCTGCACCTTTGGAAACAATGTGTCAGTACTTTGGAGCTTACTAACAGCTCAGGTTGCTACTAGGTATTCATAACAGTCTGGGTTGGAATTAGCCAAATGGACTGGATGCAAGCAGTGTTGCTCGATTTTAGAAGAAAAAGTTTTTGAACATTATCTTTATTCTGCACAGTGCATTTTATATCCATGTTCTTCCTTGTAATCCTGTTATTCTCCCAGATGCAGTGTGAACTGAAGGCACTGGCTGTTCTCTAGTTTAGATAGACACTGAGGAAGATCAGTGGCCCACGTTTAGGATGATGATAATTGCCCCATATGAGGAAGTCATGTGGAGGTCTCAGTCAAATTCCTTCCCCTGCCCCCAATTTTCATTGCTTGGTTTAGAGATAATACAGGATTGTTTCTACACAGAGATAGAACGTCTGAGAGTAAGGCTTAAAAAGAAGATAGGAAAAAGACAATGTATACAGCAGATACAATAGATATCTGTTATATACATTGATTACTAATACATGTTTCTTTTTCTCTGTACAAGACCTGTAGCTGTGTGTGGAGATAATATGTGTTGGTGGAAAGTCAGATCTTGGTTTTCGGCTGAAGTCTCCCACTATGACATATGCATACCTGTAAAGATCATAAAAGATTTCAAAAATAGTATCAGCTTTCACTACATAAAAGTATTTCTTACAAAATAGAAAATAGATCTATATCAGGTCATTTGTTTGGGTTCAGACCTTCATCATTATTAGTAAATGTCTTAGGTTAGTTTTTTGCACATCTGTTGCCTTTGGTATCTAGACTGGAAGCCATTAAACCTGGCAAAAGATCTTACTAATTTTTCCATGAACTGTGGGTACATTCAGAATTGTGGGAAATTAAGGGTTGCAGCATCAGCTTGGACAACATCTGTTATCCTAGACACCAGTGGGCTAGTCCAGCTGACTGCCTGCTGCTGTGTAGGCAAGTCATCTCTACCACCCAGCCCGCAAAGTGAGTTATTATCTCAGCAAGTCAAGAGTGTTCAGATGTCCCTACCTCTGTAGTTATAGGAGCTTGTTCCTGTGGGTGATACTACTAACCCCTAATGATTAATAGTCACATGTGGTGCTGTTTAATTTTATCTGCTGTAGGAATGAGAATTAGCTGTTCCAAGCAATGCTGTACATCTTGCTTGTCTGTATCTTAGTAAAATGTTTGATGTGGTACCACTAAGATGACAGGTATTAGGACAAGAGTAGCAAGATAAGTAGAAAATTGTTAAAAGGGGTGAAGACGCAGATTGTGTTAAATGAGAAATATTACAATGGGGGAATGGAAGTTATTGGTAGAGTCTTTAGGTTTTATTTTCTAACCAAATCTTTTTAACCTTTTTGTGGCATTGGCATAAAAATACTGTAGGTGATGTCAATTTAGAAAACATCCAGTGTGAAACAGCATTGGGAAACTATTGAAGTGACTAAATGATTTTCAGGATTGCAATAAAAATGTCTGAAATTGCATAGCAACATACAGCAGGACAAGTAACTGAAATGATTTCATATAAGCTCTGGGCTCTCGTCTATTACAAGGAATTTAAGGAAGCACTTAGTCAGGTTGTGTCTCTTCTGGGTCAGATAATGATTCCAAGGACCAGTCTAGTGTAGCTTTGAAAATCAAATCTCCACAGATGTATAAAGGAAGTAATTTTCAATTGAATTTGGGAAGATGTCATTCCACTGTACTGTGTCCTGGTTAGATTTCATCTTGAAAACTTTGTGCTTTTATGGTCATGCATGTCCCAGTGCGAACATGGAGGGAAAAAAGCTGGTGGGATGTGAGAGCTTTTTGTGTAGGACTGAAAAATACTACTTGCTTGGCTTAGGAACAAGAATACTGAGAAACCTGTGTTGTCATCTAAATCAATCAGAGGTATTTTCTTCATGGAAAGTAAAAAGAAATATGTGCTGACCATATATACCATGAACATGAGGTTTTCTAAAGAGTCATCCACGAAGTATGGCACGGACAAACGTGACCTTTCCTGTTGTATTCTCTGAATTTGTGAATGGGATTATATGATGAATTTGCCTAAAGCAAAATTTAAGGCCAAGGAGATCTTAGCCTTATCTGGTAATCATTTTCTAGGATGTTTTAGGTCTGCCTAGAAACTGTTGAGTGCTGACTTCTAATACTATGCTCTCACTACATTAGGACTTACTCCTTGCATCAGAGAATTTTGATAGTGTATTTGAAGCAAAGAAGAATCTCTTATATTTGGCTTCTTTGCTGTTCTCTAGCTACAGTCGTTGTTGACTGAATTTTTAGGTGTACTAGGGGTACTAGATTTGTGAATGAATGAAGGCTTAGTGTGTTTTCATTGTTAATTATGAGAATGCTGAAAGCCAATTAAAGCACTGCTCTGAATTTAATTTTATAAAATAAAACATTTACAAGGAAGGAAAACAATACTGTATTTTTGTTAGACTGACTTGTCACATGTAGAATGATAAAAATGGTTTTGATAAAATCAAACTATTTTGTCTTGCTTTTGAATAAAGTAAAATTGTTAAAGCAATTTCAGAATATCTTCTACTAGTTCAGGAACAGGAGAGGAAAGTGTTAGTGCTACGTTACATGCTAATACAGCTGACTTTAAAACTAATTGCCATTGAAACATGGTACTGTATTTTAAGTAGTGATCAGAAAATGCAAAACATCCTGACAAATGGATTTAAGGAGCTTTGAAGCCTTTCATGCTAGAACTGTGGAAGGTAATTTGCTGGCTTGAAGCATAATTATTCCTGGTTTTGAAATAGCTTGAGCTCCTCACCTCTGAGCGGATCTTGGTGGAAAGCATCTGCAGAAGTATTTAGAATAATTCTGCTGTCCAGCTGTGTGTTCTGCTGACTGGCATGGTTGCTACGGTATGAAAGTCAGACCTGTAATTGTTGGTGGGTGCATTCTTGTGTATCGTTCACTGAATGTGTAAATTTACCACCAAGTAAACTGACACAGAGAAACATAGGACCCATTGCTGTACATCGTATTACTGTATTGCTGTTGTACTGTGTTTTGTTTTAAAAGGTAATCAAATAATGGTATCCATACTTGGGGCTGAATTTCTCTTTGTCCATCAGAAATTTTATATAGTAATTATCATTAATCTGCTTTTCCTTGGTACTAGCAGAAAGTTGTTGCACCTTGATTTTGTACAAAGACAGGTTTAAAAATAAATGAATAATACACAGTGATAGCCACATACGCCTTTTTAAAAGATTTAAAGCATCTTCGTCTGTGACAAAGACACAACACTTCTGGAAGCTACTTACAAAACAAACAGAATTTAATTAGTCTTCATATAGGTTTCCTAGCAATAGCTGCTTCCAGAATCAGCTACCTCATGTGTTGTCATAAGGTACACTATTGTCTTGGTATTTTGATTGTCTACTCATTGTGTCTCTCAGAGGATGCTGAAGTTAATTAGTTACCTAATACCTGACCACTACTCAGTTTGCTTTATCAGGTCAGAAACCTACACAGTAACCTCAGCAGCATAGAGATACCCTAGGACTAAAACACACCACAGCCAACACATCTGAAAGAACAGCAGGATTTGACTAATAAGCAAGCATTGCACATATGGACAGGGAATTAACTGGCACTGATTTTTATTTTGAAGTCTCCCAGGTATTGACTTGCAGATGGGTAGATGAATGAAGGTCACGTATAGGACTCTGGTTTTAACCTGTCTTGCTTTCTGGAACACTACATCCATAGTAGCACTAATTGTTCCTCCAGTCATTTGGGGTTTGGATTTTCATTCTATGTTTCCCGGAGTGTCTGTGTTCTTAGTATACAGCTTTAATGGGTTTCTTCTTTAAAAAAAAAAAAAAAAAAAAAAAAAAAAACTCTTTTGCAGTTGAAAAAGGGCTTG